GCAACAGCAGCAGCAGCAGCAGCAACAGCAACAGCTTCGAAAGCAGCACCCAGCGGGCAGCAGGCGCCCCGACCCACCCAAGCGTGTTAGGAGATGGTGTTTGAGTTTTGAGGAGGAGTTCCTGTGTCCACAAACCACCCGCAGAGACATTCCTTCTTTGCTGCTGCTGCTGTTGGTGCTGCTGCTGTTACTGTTGTTTTTGCTGCTGCTATTACGGTCGCTGCTGCTGCTGCTTCTACTCTTGCTGCTGCTGCTGCTGGTACTGTTGCTGCTGCTGCTGCTGCTGCTGCTCTTGCCCGCTGGGCAGCTCTTGCTGGCTGCCTGCAGCGGCTGCGCGTGTCTTCCCTGCTGCTTTTGGACTTTTTTGTTGTGTCTCCTTTTTACTTCAATTGGCTGTTTTGTGGCTTTCTCTGTCTCCTCTATTTCTTTTTTCTCTTTAATTTTATCTTTTTAAATCACTAGCTAGCTGCCCCATTTGCTGCTGCTCTTGCTGCGGCCCCCTCTGCCCCAGCTGCTGCTGCTGTGCTGCCTCCGGCGCCGCTGGCTAGCTGCAGCAAAGCTGCAGCAAAGCTGCAGCAAGGCTGCAGCAAAGCCGCAGCAAAGCTGCGGCAAAGGTCCCCTAAGCGCAGCTAGCTGCCCCCTAGCCTGCCCCTTTTTCGTCTCTCTTTTTGTCTTTTTCGTCTATTTTTTGTCCATTATTTGTTTATTATTTGTCTCTTTTTCGTTTTATTTGTTTATTTTTTTCTATTTTTTTCTATTTTTGACTTTTTTTGTCTATCTACTTTTGCCCACTCGCCCTCACCAGTGAAAAGAATCTCTGTAAAAGTGCTGCGGCCCATCCACTTCCACCACCACGGCCGCGCCCCTTAGCCTCTCCGCAGCTGCGCCACACAGCAGCAACAGCAGCAGCAGCAGCAAGTGGTTCCTGCTGCTTGAACAGCAGCTGCGCAGAGGCAGCACACGATACTTAAGGAGCAACGCAGCAAGACAGCAAGACAGCAAGACGAGACCCAGTGGCTTTCCTCTTTGGCCCCCCTCTCTCCCAGCTGCTGGCCGGCGCAGCAACAGCAACTGCAGCAGCAGCAGCTGCAGCAGCAGCAGCTGCTGCAGCAGCAGCAGCTGCAGGAGCAGCATGTCCCCCTGAGCTTCACTTAATGGCCTCAGGGGGCCCCACATCGAGCCAGCAGCAGCAGGCAGCTGCTGCTTCAGTCCAACTGACTACAGGTTACGTGCCTGAGCTACACCAGCGTCCGTCTGCGTCCAAGAGAGACATCCCCAGAGCCTGCTGCTGCTGCTGCTGCTGCTGCTCTCCCTCAGTGAGTGGCTGGGCGAAGTCGAGGGTGTAGGGGCCAAAAGTGACCTGCGCAGCAAAAGACTCGCAGAGAAGACAAGCAGCAAGAAGTCTCGGGCCAGAGGCCCGTCAAAAGACTAGTAGTTAATCAGTTGAAAGCTGCTGCTGCTGCTGCTGCGCTGTCTGCTGCAGCGAAGCTTGCCTCTGAGTAATAGTGGCACTGCAGAAAGGTGGCAGCCCTCGCCACCTGCTGCTGCAGCGCAGAGGATGTGGGGGCCTCGGGCTCAGGCTGGCAGCAGCGCCGCACCCACTGCAGCAAATCGCGAGCAGAAGCACTTAATGACTCAGCCGGAAAAGGAGTATGGCCAGCCCTGCGAGGGGCAGGCAGCACAAAGAGACACACAAACGCATGCAGCAGGGCTTTCTGCCTAGCGGCAGCAGCAGCAGGAGCAGCAGTTGCTGCTTTTGCTGCTGCAGCTGCTTCTCCTGCTGCTGCAGCAGGAGGAGCAGCAGTTGCTGCTGCAGCTGTTGCTCCTGCTGCTGAAGCTGGGACTGGGCAGCTGCTATGACCTGACACGCTGGGGGCCCTCCTGCTACTTGTCTGGGGCCCCCAACCTGCTGCTGCAGGGGGCCCCTTTGGGGGCCCCCCGGGGCACTGGCTGGGGGCTGGGGGCCCCCAAGGGCCTCACCTGAAGGCCAACTCCACAGTCTGCAGCTGAGAGATGGCTGGGGTGGAGAGGCAGTGGGCATGGCGCAGCAGCTGCAGCACGAAAGCATATAAAACATTCAAAAGATAAAAAAGAATACTTCGAGACCAAAACACAAAAAGATATTTTAACACCCACAGGGCCCCACACCAAGTGGGCCCTCAGCAGCGAGGTAAAGACTTGCCCCAGCTGCTGCTCCTCCTGGCAGCCCAGAGGGCCCTGCAGCCGCAGAAGGCCCGCCACTAGCAGCAGCAGCAGCAGCAGCAGCAGCAGCAGCTTGCCTGGGAGAGCAGCGCGTCGTAGATGGGCAGCTCGTCGCACCTGAAATAACTGAGCGCCAGCAGCAAATTAGTGGCCCGCTGCTGCCCCAGAGTATCCAGCAGAGCTGCAGAAAAAGGCAGCAGCAAAAGGCGCGGGGGGCCCTAGGGGGCCCCAGAGTCTGCTGGGCAGTTTTAGTTTTGTAAAAGAGAAACACAGGAGCAAAAGGGCCTAAAGGGGATTTCTAGCCACTCAGGGGAGGGGCCTCAGAGCCAGGAGGAACTGCAGCAGTAGCAGCAGCAGTAGCAGCAGGTGCTGCAGCTAGCCACTCAGTGACAGGAATGCAGAGCCAGGGGAGGCTACAGTAGCAGTAGCAACAGCAACATCTGCTGCTACTGCTGCCTCAGGATCTGTTGTTGCTGCTGCTGCTTTTGCTGCTGCTGCTTCTGCTGCTGCTGCTGCTGCTGCTGCTGGGAACACTTCTTACAGGGGGGGTTTGCGCGGAGGCGGCTGAGGAGGCTGCTGCAGAGGCCAGGGTGCCAGAGGTCGAGGCGGTAGCAGCAGTAAAGAGCTGCGACGCAGTCTTTAGGCTGAGGAGGTGCAGCAGCATGCAAAAGGCAGCAGCAAATGAGAATCCAATTACTTTGCTGCTGTCTCTTGCCCCGGAGAAGGCGCAGCAACCCTCTGGCAGGGCCACAGACAAAGCTCTAGCTGCCCGGCTGGCTGGCGAGCTAGCTAGCTGGGTCCAGCTAGCTGGCTAGCTGGGTTCAGCTAACTGGCCAGCTGGGTCTAGCTAGCTGGCTAGCTAGGTCTAGCTAACTGGCTACCTCAGTCTAGCTGGCTAGCTGGATCTAGCTAGACCAGCAGGTAAGTCTAGCTAGCTGGCCAGCTGGGTCTAGCTAGCTAGCCAGCTAGGTCCAGCTAGCTAGCTAGCGGCCTCTAGGCAGCCTGAGCAAGGGCCTTACAGAAAGCAGCTGCCTCGCAGATGCATACTCGAGGAGGGAAACCACAGCCCTCAGTGCTTCAGCATCTCGCTTCTGCAGCTGCCCCAGGGCCCGCAGGATGCGCAGCGCTCGCTTCGCCGCTGCAGCAGCTGCTGCGGGTGCTGCTGCTGCAGCTGCTACTGCTGCAGGGGCTGCTCCAGCGGCTCCTCCGGGTGCTGGTGGCGCAGCTGGCTGTGCCGCTGCTGCTGCGGCTGGCTGCGGTGCTGCTGCTGCAGCTTGCTCTGCCGCGGCTTGCGGTGCTGCTGCATCGGGCTGTGCTGCTGCTGCTGCTGCAGCACAGGGGCCCTCCTGACTGCTTGAAAACAAGGCCTGCTGCGCTGTAAGCCTAAAAGCGCAACAAAGAAGACAAGACCCCTTTTTGCTGCTGTGTCCAGTTGAAGGGGTGCGGGCTGCAGCCCGGGCCTCGAGCCTTTAAGCGTCAGACTCCTAAACCCTAAACCCTAGTTTAGGGTTCAGGGCACAGACTGAACTTCGATTCAAAGCAGAGCTCAAAGACCCGAGCTGTTGCCCCTTGGCTGTAAACCCCGAGTCCCAATTAAGGGTACACTCTGCAGTCAGCTGGGTAGCAGGGCACCCAGACCCCGTTAAAGCCTAAACTCTAAACCCTCGTTCAGGGTTTAGGAGTCCAGCCCTCACAAGGTGACAGCCCGCGGGAGCAGCCCCGCAATGAGGCCCTCCGGATAGCAGCTGAGGGCGCCTAGGGCAGAAAGAACTTGAGCTGTTTCCTCCAGGCCCAAATGTTGCAGATGCTGCAGCAGCAGGGAGAGCAGCAAAAGCAGCAACTGTGTGTCTGCTGCTTCTCCCTACGGCCCCCGGCTTGCTGCAGCACGGCTGCAGCCAACTGGGCCCCCCTGCTGCTGGGGGCCCCCTCTGCAGCAGCTCCCACCTCCTTCAGCCAGTCCCCGAGGCCCCTAAACAGAGGCTGAAAAGCCGCAGCTTCAACAGCAGCAAAGCAGCAAAGAGCAGCAACTGCAACTTCCGTGTCCCTCCACGCCTCCCGGCCCTTAAACGCCGCCCTGGGGGGGCCCCCTCCCGTCCTGCCCGAAAGGGGGCCCCCCGCGGGGGAACCCCCAAGAGGGGGGCCCCCAGAAGGGGGCCCCTCACGAGGGGACCTCCCAGGAGGGAGCTCCCCCGAAAAGGGGTCCCCAAGAGGGGGGCCCCCAGAGAGGGGGCCCCCCGGAGGGTCACGAATGGCGAATCGGCGCTGCAAAGCGCGCGCTGCAGCGAAGCAGAAAGAGGGGAGGCGGCTCTTGAGGGTTGGGAGGAAGCAGAAGAGACAAAAGAAGCAAAAAGAGGAAAGAAAGAGTTTCAAAATCCGAGAGAAGGGACAAAAGAAGCAAAAAGGGGAAAGAAAGAATTTGAAAATTCGAGAAAAAAATAGAAATTCACCTATTTCCGTCAGTAAGGGAAGGTG